GCCGCAGTGGGGCCAGGACAAGAAGCTGTCCAAGTACGAGACGCTGCAGATGGCGCTGAGCTACATCATGGCCCTGACCCGCATCCTGGCGGAGGCCGAGCGCTTCGGCTCGGAGCGGGACTGGGTGAATCTCCACTGCGAGCACTTCGGCCGCGACCCCTACCTCCCGTTTGCGGGCGCGAAGCTGCCGGGCGAGAGCGAGCCCTACGGCCAGAGGCTCTTCGGCTTCCCGCCCGAGCCCTTCCAGATGGCCAGTTAGGGCGCGCGGCCCCGCCGGTGCGGTCCGGGCATCTAGCCCCGGAGCCCGCCTCCCCTTTCCCGGTGTCTGCAGGGCCTTTCGGTGACCGAGGATGCATTCTTAGCATAAAGTTAGCAGACTTTCAGGTTACTTTAGTTTGCATCACTAGGCTATGGACACGATGGTTTTATTGTCTTCCTTCCCCCCTTCTTATCAGTGTTTTGCAGATTTCATAGATGGATCTTGTGAATGGTTTTGATGGCTGTGAAAATAATTCCCCCTCTCCCTTTTTTGGTCTACGTTGAGGGAAAACAATCTTAAGGGAAACGTAGAAGTAAGGGTATACTGCAGCTTTGGTCCTCAGAGAAATAACCACTTCCTTAAACTTGGTCCGTTTGTCCTGTTCGGGTGAAGTTACGGTATCCATTCCTCGTGTATGCTTAAAACACAGCTACCTTCCTATCGTGTGAATGCATTTTGCTTAGTGCATTGTGTGCGCATGCATGAAGTAGACTCCTTCCCCCAACCCCAGAGTACATGGCCGTGAATGATCTGTATTTTTAAAAACTGTGTATACATTATTAAAATATAGATTTTGTAAAATATGGATAAAAACGTAGGTCTGTTTTTCGTGCCCTGCTGGTTTCCTGATGGCACTAAAGGCCTAATTGGGGGTTAATGATGTTGAGTGCTTCCCTGAGCAAAGATGTGAAATATTTAAATCTAATCACATCAATGGTAATTGTGCTGTTTTGTAATACTTCCTAAAACAACAACAACGACAAAGCCGAGGCGAGTACACATAATTAATGTGAAAGCTTTCTCTGTAATCTTGGAAATAGAGATGTATTTTTCATGTTTTTTAAATGATTAAATTAATTGAAATATTTAGCTTTAAGTAACTATTCAGTTCCTCAATATTTTATTTTCCTTTTTAAGCCAATTACTATGAATTCTTTACAAATACCCAAATATATATA